CATTTAAGTAAAAAAAAAATGGTTTCTTATCGCTATCTCCGGACTCAATACACATAACTTACAGCATCTTTTTGATTAAAAAAATATAGCGGTTTGATAATCGTTTACTATATTACACGATATGTAAAATATTAGCATGGCCCAGCCCATGGACTCCTACAATAAACAAACAAAAAAAAGCAAAAGATACGTAATGACCCCTGATGAGGACTTCAAAGGAAACCCTCTCTCACCTTTTACACAGCAGTGGGTGCACTGTGGTTTAGTGGAAGAAATTTGTTAGAAGTTAAAACCCCGTTAGACGGTCTTCTTCTATGCAGTTTAATTAAAAAAAAAAAGAAACGTTACCTGTATTTTTCTGCCGACTTCCAAAAAGGAGACGGTACTCAATTTGACTGTATTTTTTTTATGTGTGTTACCTCATAACTTTTTACTGGGTGAACCGATTTCGATGATTCTTTTTTTATTTGAAAGCTGGTACTTCTCATGTGGTCCCATATGAATTTGATCAAGGTCAGACTAATCGTTTTTGAGTTATTCTTAATAACTTATATTGAAGTCGGCAGTACAAAATGTTTAATTTTAAATTATCTGCTTTATTATGGAGCAGGCCATACGTATATTTAACAATGACAAACATCCAGACACGTAGTAATTATTTGTAGACCATACAAATACTTGTTCAGTGCGGGATCCGAAACCGCGGCCATTAGAACTGCAATTCATTGCTAAGCCACTATAGCTACCATCATTTTTGATTGCTTAGCAGATTTTTTCGACAATAAATTTCCTAATGTCACTTGCAACAGTGCGCGTGCACAATCAAACACATCGTTAACCAGTAGCTAATGGTAGTGATAATAATATTTAGTTAAAATAAACCAAACTCGACCAATGCGACATGCCTCTAAAGAGCTTTTTACGACTTCCGTCACAAAACGCTCGAGGACAACTCTCGTTTAAAGTCAAATATCTATAAAAACCTAGTTAAAGCGGCGCTTAATGTTTTTATAGTGAACGTGCGGTGGTCCAACGCTTAACATTGTTTTTAATGAGTCATATTATGACCAATTAAATTATGTGCATCGTACTAGGGAGGATAGTCACGTAGTGTGTACGAGCTTTATTTAAGTATGAGCGGCCACACTAAAATTTGTGGGCAGTAATGAAAGTGTTAGTTAAAATTACATAATAACCGTAAAGCTACGATGTGCAATGAAAATTAGAATGCTATACAAGTATAAAAACTAAATGAGCTATTTGTTTAAACGTACCGGAAGGAGTTTCTAAAGTTTTACGATTTTATTTAGACCTCTCTTTCTGTCCTGGAGTAGTATCTGCGTCTATGATAATTTTACATTATTAACATTTTTAATAGATACTTTTACTTTTCTACCGACTTCAAAAAGGAGGAGTGTGTTTTTTTAATGTGTTACCTCATAACTTGTTTCTAGGTGAACCGATTTCGATGATTCTTTTTCATTTGAAATCGGGTGCTTCTCATGTGGTCCCAATGGGACCGTCCCATACAATATTGATCAAGGTTTGATCAATCGTTTTTGAGTTATCTTTTTAGTTTTTTAATTTATAATGAAGTAGGTTGCACAAAAATTTTAATTTTACTACTAGTTAATTTATAGGCAGAACTGTAAATTAAGTCAAGTGCGAACAGGTAGTTCTTAGGTACTTATTTCTACCGCTAAGCAGTTGTCTGCGCACTGTGTTTCGGTCTAGAGTGTATAGGGAGCGATTTAATTATAGACTGAGATGCATTTCATTTTAGCTCTTAGTGGTGACAACACATCTGTAAACCTTATTCGTTTAAAGTTGGTTGCGGGTTTTTATGGGCTGCAGTAACCACTTACTATCAGGTGGTCTGTTAGTTCGCTTGTCATATAATAAATATGTATAATAATATAATGTACTATATATTTTTTATAGGATAGGGTGAGCACACAGTCCACCTGATGGTAGTGGTTACTGTGACCCATAGGCATCTACATCTATCCTCGTTTGCGAAACAAAAAGCAGATGCGTTGTCAGTCGTGAGGACTAAAATAGAATGCCTCTTTTCCAATAAAAAGGGTCTCCGGTTTTCTACACTCACCATACGAAACACAGTAGTGTTAAACTACTATTAATTTTACGCTGGTATTCTGTGAAAGCGTGGTCCTTCCCCGGTCGAGCCGACCCATTCGAGCTCAAACTATACTACTAATATAGCTGCAGCATGGCTCTACCACGTATAATATTATTATTTAATAAAATCGTATCCTAAACGTAATGTTTATCTTCTTATCTACCGACTTCAAAAAGGTATTCAACTCTACCATATTTTTTTTATGTGTGTTACATCATTACTTTTTCTTGGTGAACCGATTTTGATGATTCTTTTTTTATTTGTAAGCTGGTGCTTCTCATGTGGTCCCATATAAATCGGTTGTACAACATTATTAATTTTTAATTATGTTATAGGTAGTGTGTACTATATCACTAACATATAAACCAAAACATTGTTTATTTTATATTGTTATGAAGTTTCCAAAGACGTAAAAGATCAGCAAAAAAGATCTTTTGTCATATTAACAAAATTACGTCGCTTAATATTCAAACTATTAGTTTTACGAACATCCATGACTCTATCTTCCTGTCAAACCTAAACAAACTGCTGAGTAATGATGCTTTAAATTGAAGATAAAATAATTAGTACCTTCACGTCAAATATTCCTCAACAAGTAGACCTAAACAACTATAACTAAAACAAACCCACGATCTAGTTTAAAACAATAAAGTAGACGTGCTTAATTATGTGACATAAAGATTAATCAGCAATTAGATTTATAATGAAACTTATCATTATTTAATAATAGTTTCCGTATCGTTTGATAAACCTAATGAAACAAAACACTCGATTAATGAACCAACATCGGAAACTGCCAATAATGAAGGTGACTGAAGATCATATGTTTTATTGTACATAGTAGTTATCTACACTTAATTATAGACTGCTTTGAGTAACAATGTCATGTACGTCATTAGACGTTAGAAATTGTAGAAACAAACATAATTACTACTGAGCTACTAAGAATATTAAATCCGTAACACGTTTTTACATAATTTTTTTTAATCTTTAATTTTTTAAAGAGGGTTTTATAAAACTATTATAATGCCAGCCTCATTGTATTTACATTTTTTTAATCTTTTTACCATTTTGTGCAACATTCTGGCTTCCTCAGACAATGGTGAAGCCAGAATACTGTTACAAAATCCGATGTCTAATCTATTTACATTATATTTACTGCAAAAATTTACTCTTTCGGCCTCGATGCGAACACACTCCACCAAAATGTGCACTACGTCCTCTAATTAACCACATTCTACACAGTTAGGGGATTCGACCTTTCCCATCAAGAATGCGAAGCTTACATCATATTTTTAAAAATGGAAGACGATGAAGAGTGCACAGAAAATATTAATTTCCACTAATGTACGCGCACGCATCGAGGCATCTATTTGTCCTCAGTTAACCAACCTCGATTTAACGCGTACGCAACAAGATCGAAAACACGCTAGAAAATTTGTTGGAGTCATGTAGCAGTATTATAATGTAGTAAGAATAGGTCAGCTCGATCGTGGAATGGTCACGTAGGCACAGAATAGCAGCAATACGTTTAGCTTCGCATTGTGCTGTTTTTCGTATGATGAGTGACGAGAACCAGAGACCCTGTTTTACTTATAATGAAAGTTCATCTAAGTCTTCAGGGTTGTCAACGTCATCCATTTTGATTCTTAATAGCGGATGGAGCTACGTCTATAAACCATAGCATTCCAACTTACCATCAAGTGGACTGTTCTGCGTTTCTGTACAAATCTTTTACGTGGTAGAGCCACGCTGCAGCTATATTATAGTTATAGCACGAATGGATCGGCTCGACCAGAGAGGATCACGCTCTCACAGAATACCAGCGTAAAACAGCAGGTTAATGCTGCTGTGTTTCGTATGGTGAATGTAGAGAACCGAAGACCGTTTTCACTGGAAACAAGGCATTTCATCTGAGTTCTAAGGGTGACAACGGATCTGCATTTTGATTCTTGATCGAAGATAAATGTGGATGTCTATCTACAACAGCACCCACTTACCACTAGGTTGACTGTGTGCTCGTTTGTCACCCTTATTCTATAAAAAGAAACTTTATTCCGCCGAAATTCGAGCTAGGACTCGCGACGTAGTAGAATGGTACTTTGACTAATAGAATATATTCCCATACAAAAGATTCGTAATAATACTTAAAAGTCAATTTGAACTTTAATACCATACCATAAAATTTAAGTGTTAATGGAAGGGTTCCGGGAAGGCAAAACAATTGAGTGACTTTAGTATCGTATAAATATTAATGTCAATATTTGTGAAATAACTCCACGCGGGCGAAGTCGCGGCGAACAGCTAGTATCAAACATAATCGCAGAGTAACTTCTACTCTAAACTAGTCATAAAGACAGAAACTATCTTAATATAATAAACTTTGTAAACTTTAAATCTCACTTTACAATAAATTTAAATTTCATTATTCTTATTAACTTTACGATTCTCATCGATTTTGATTACTAGCAAAAAAATCAACGCAGGACCTCTTCTAAATTGAAAAAGACTAAAATATTTAAAAAAAAGTATAATAAATTTAAAAAAAAAAACTTCTGAGGCCGTGCAGCGGCTGTGTATATCTACTACCCCGTATCATCCAGTGGGTGCAGACGACAGAGGGACTGAACACGAAACTGACAACGGCTATATAATTTTAACGGTTACATAATTTCTACACCTGTATATATGAAAGATGACCTTTTCTAACATTAGTAGACTCTTGTGCATAGATAGTGCTCAGGTTTTTTTATACGTAGCCCTTAACCACCGTTCTATTTGTAATCTGAGCAGGATTAATAAGTATTTATTTGTGCATATTATACACAATTTAATTTTAATTTAAGGATGATTCACTTACTTGTTCTGTTTCACCGGCGTGGTAGACGGCGTAGGCCGCTTCTCTTCTTTAATCGTACTGTTATTCATTTTAGACGTTAATCTCTTCAGAACATCGTCCATCGACCGCTTGTGAGGTGGTGCGAACGACAACGCGCTGTTATGATTTAGTAATGAATTGTTATTATTGCAAAGACCTAACACTTTAGCATCGGAACCGGGGCTGCTGCATTCAGAAGAGCCGCGTCTTCTCGTTTGCAGATCATTAACTTGGTGCAGGCCAAGGAAAGATGATGGGACTAGAAGATTGTTTGTCATGTCTAATGATTGTTCGAAACGTTGCTTCTTGGTGGGGCGTTCGTCCTCGAAATTCGAAGGGTCTTCTTCACTTATGGAGCTTCTTGTCGAGGTGCTAGGCGAGAACTTGTAGTAATTTTGTTGTTCGTTTTCGTCTGACTCGTGGTGATCGGAATATTCTAAGTTAGCTGGACCGGCTTCGGGTTTCTCTGTGTCGGCTGCGCCTTCTTGCAATTTTGACGGTGGCGATTTTCGTTTAGATGACATGTTTCTGTAAAGAAAAAGAAAAGTCAACGTAAGTGACAAGTAATAAAATTAATAAGACGTTATTACATTTTTTTTAAATTTAACATTGCCAATTAAAACTTGAAAATTTAAATAAAAATATATGTGGAAATTTGTGAACAAATTACATTTAAAAGTAAAAAAGCATTGATGCATGACCAAGTCTTATCTAATGTATTAATTAACATCAATATTTAACAGATCCTCTGCTTGATATAAGTCTTTTATATAATGCACCAGATGCCAGGTTGGATGGCTGTATGTGTTAACAAGATTTATTTTTTTATTATTTACTTAGTCAATTTAGTACAGTTTAATTGGAGCTTTGGAAATATATTTTAACAAACACAAATATAATGTTCAAACGTTGCGATCCAACTCAGGTTGGACGTCAAACGTCGTATTTGTCACCAAACTCTCCGACTAGTTAGGAAACTCGGTTCGTTAAAGCACCTAATTGGGCTCTGCTAATTGTACTAATTGCAGTTTCTGTCTCCTTTGGACTTAAGGTGTCCGCTAGACTATGTGAGTCGGCCAATCTTGCGAGATCTCCGAGTGTTCACCCAAATTTCTCCTTACTGTCTGTATTACCAAGGAATTTTGGGGGTGTGTGGATCCGATTAGGCTAGTAATCATTTGAGCGGCTAACGTGATTTTGTTAATGTGTGCGTAATAACCGCGAAGACGGTTCTAATAACGCGTTTGTGATAGGACAGAGCCATGTGTTCGCGTGTTTATATAGGAATGTGTAATAGTGTGCAATTTGTAAATTAATGTAGTTCACATAGATCCGGGTAGGAAATCTTCATTGGTTGTGCCAACAAACGAATTTCTTGTTCAGACAGTGTCTGGCGTTTCTGCTTTGAAGCTTGTTTGTATTCGACTCGGTTGTACACATTGAGTCAATTTACTTTGGAATTTGCAGTTAACTAAATATTGCGTCTGTTAACGTCTCGATAGTTTTAATTTGACCTCGTTTTTTTTTTTAATTTGTTGAATCTGTAAGTTTTAGATAAACGACAGACATGACGAAATAGTCGTCAATACATCGTATATTTAGTCTATAATATATTGAAATATTTTTAATACGTATTGTTTGTCTTTTCTTTGATATATTTATGTACACGCAGCAAGTCACAGAAACGACGATACAGTGAGTTTGTACAAAGGTACTACTCATTCCATAATTTGTTGAAATATCTTCTAATATGGTTTAAACAGGGCAATATATATTTCTAATGAATAAATAATATACACATTATTATCTTAATGTTTTGTACGTGGTAGAACATAGCTGCTGCTATATTATAGTTTTGGTACAAATGGGTCGGCTCCACCGGGGAAGGACCACGCTCTCACAGAATACCAGCATAAAATAGCTGCTTAACGTTTCTGCGTTTTGATTCTTAATTAAAGATAGATGTAGATGTCTATGGGCCACATCGTCCACTTACCATCAGGTGGACTTTGTGCTCGTCTGTCTCCCTTATTCTATAAAAAAATATGAATTATAAAAAATAATACGATAAAAATAATAATAGTCGCAATAATTAAATATATAATATATTTAAACAAATATAATACAATAATATACATTAATTAACAAGATGCAAAGTAATTATCTCTTACTCTTATATATCTTTATATATAAAAATTACGTGTCACGTTGTTTGTCCGCTATGAACTCCTAAACTACTGAACTGATTTCAATGAAATTTTGCACACTGTGTGCAGTTTGGTCCAACTTGAGAGATAGGATAGTTTTTATCCTGATAAGTGACACTAAATATTTTTTTATTACGAATTTAAGGATTTTTTATATGAAGGGTCGTCGAAAAAGGCAGAACAACGTATGCCTGGCCAGCTAGTTTAATATATCTACCTATATAATATCAATTTTACCTTCTATCCTCTCTGCGGTAGATAGTTCCCGTTTTAATATTATTTTTTTCAAGTCTTTAGAATAAGAGTTAATTGTAAAACATTAAACATTTAAACTAAATAAACATTAACAAGTCAGTCGGTAGTCAGAGTGCGTGTTATATTGCTCTCCAAATATAATAAAAGTCCCGCTAACACAGTACCACCAAACCCCGTGTTAGTGCCCTCTTGACAAAGGGGACAATGAAGAAAGCGATGTATGAAACAAATAGAGAACCCATTCTGCAGATTTAAATACTTGACGAATCAACACGGAACATAGATTATAATTAATCTACATAGATTAATCTATGTAGATTACCTATATAGATTAAGGATACGTTGTAAGTTAAAACGATCCTACAGGTACATTAACATAAATACTTATATTTAGCCATTATTATACTTTTCAAACTCTGAACTGAAACTTCGGTGTTAACACAAATAGAAAAAATAACATAATAAATTTATTTGTTACGTTCAAACACGGTAAGCAAATATAAATATTTATAGTTCTTTTGTAAGCATTCGTAGCTCGTAGGCGATAAACTAATTTGTCCGGTTTGTCGCTTCACCCGCAACTTGCGATAGAATTTCTTGCACCGACGAAATTATTGTCGATTACATGTAAGGGTAAATTTTAATCAATAACAATTAAAGTGTTATAATAAAATTGTAAATATTAAGAAATGAAATTATTCAAGTAAATAAAAAGTAGCGAAATATCGTACTGTGGTTAAATGGCAAAATATCATTTTTAAAACTGAACAGACAAATGAACTTGCAGGACACCTGCTGTAAGGCTTTCATCAGCATCATGAAGCAAATACAAAGGTCATAATAATTACTAGTAATTTTTTATTACTAGTAATTGTTCTCACCTTTGTATTTGCTTCATGATGCCGACTCTCTATATGTTTCGAGAGGGTGGTGGTGGACCTGCCAAGACGACTCTAATTTCTCTTTAACTTGAATTTGCTACAAATACATAGATTGGTAACCTAAAGCTGGTCAGATGGCGTCAGATTGTCGAGCATAGCAAGAACCGACTATGGTAAGTGAATGCTGGGGCTAATCAATAACTTTCGATTAAGAATCAAAATGCAGATACGTTGTGACCCTTTAGGACAAAGGTGAATTGCCTCTTTACAAGTAAAAGGGTCTTTAGTTCTCCTATCTCATCAAAGGAAACACATCAGTATTAACACACTACCCAAGTCGAAGCGACCCGTTCGTTCTGCAATGGGCCTTTACCAAGTGATGGTGTAGTAGTTTAAGTGAAATAATACTTTTCTTAATTAAAATACATGTAAGGTACAAGTTAATTTAAACGAACGAAACAAAAAAAATATTTTATATATGCTTATATTTTGTAATGTACTTAAATTGAAACAATATAAGTAAGCAATAAATTGAATTTTCCGGACGACACAATCGAAGTTTCGACCTCCCCTTTTGAACGTTTCGTTTAACAAAAACAATTTGCCTTCAATTTTGTTATGCCATTGTCCTACTTCTCTTCCCCTACAACGTTGAAATCAGCTGTGCTCTATTGAACTATTGCAGATATTTTCATAACATTTTACAATAATTTCCGTGTTCTAAACCTTTTTAATTTTTGCAATCTACACTATGTTTTTATTCAAACTGGATTTCTGACTTAATAGTCTTCTTAGAAAAATTAAAATAATTATTTACAATGTTAAAAACTATAATAATAAAAAAAACTAAAATTAGAAAGTTAATTATCATATAGTCCTACTCCCCGCGGTATCGTGCCAAGAACGCTGGCTACGTTTCCCCGCTGAATGCCTATACTTAGCCTTTGAGCGAGAAAAGAACCAGCTCTCTTATCACCAGCAGCAACGATCAGCCGCGGATGGACCCCACGGACCGATAGTCTCTACAGCAAATGGCACAAATATGTAGTCATCTCTCAGAGACTCATATTTGCGCCACTTACTCAGTTCAGCTGCCTCTGATGTCGCCCCGGCTCTAAACGAGGTACCCCTGAGATGAGAAGCCGCCAGAGTGTCTACGCAAGTAGCATCCCACACTAGGACTTTACCTTTCTCCCAAGGGACCAATGTCATACGGTCTCCTGCCATCGTCTCAAAATATTCCACAAGGCTCTAAAACCGAGGGAATATTTATAGAGACAAGAGCCCTTCGGATGACATCGTTCAAAGAACTGTGTCGTGAAAACCTACCAGCGCTTTTCTTACATGAAAGTCCGTGGAGCCCAATTTTGCAATTAGATTGATGTGAAACCGGTTGTATTTTTTGTCCATTGTATTATTGTATCATTGGCTTTGCTCTAAAACTCACCTGGTGATAAATATGAGCAAATTTTTAATCGACTTCAAAAAGGAGGAAGTTCTCAATTCGTGTTTGTTGTTTTTGTATGTATGTTAAGCGATATCTTCGCAGATTGTTAACCAATTTTGATAATTATTTTTTTTATTAAATTCGAGGGTGGTCCCATATAAATTTGGAAAAAAAATTCGACCCCTAAGGGTAAATAAATAAATTCTTTTTTAGCAATTTGAAGTCGGTTTTTACTTTTTGTAAAAAGTTATAATTATCCAAGCAATGCTTCCTAATTGGTACATTCTTGGATAGAGATATGTCCAGCAGTGGATAGTGGTTGTCTTTTATGATATACCTACCTACCATATTTTTTTATTTGAAAGCTTTAATTTTAATTAGACGAATAGGTTTAACTTTGTACGAGTATGCGACTCAAAATGTTGGTTTACCCGACTTGAAATTGTAAGTTACATAGTAAAATTTTCATTAATTTACAGCTTAAAATATTATTACGAGTAATGTTATTAGTATTGATTAATAATGATTATTTGTAATTTCGGTTGATTTCTTTAAGCTTGCTTGAATTTGTAACAACTTCAAAATCTATAACACCAAGCAACCTCTTCATCTTTAATTCAATTTTCTCAACGTAATTGACTTGACAATTTTCCCGCCAACACGCCATATTGTTCTCGTCACCGCGTGATGTTATTGTGTCCGTAATGGAAAGGAAATTAATAGTTACAATGCAT